ACTATCATCACCAGATGAAAGCATTGAAAAAATTGACACCAACGTGACTCCCACAGAAAGCATTTTACAAACTTTGAGTACAGATCCAGCATTGTGGCCAAGAATTTTAGGAGACGCCGAAAGAAGTTTTTTAGTAAGACAAAGTCCACCTAAACTATTGCATAATTACAAATTTGTTTCCAATGACACTGGTCGACATTTTAGCGTAAATTATTACACACGAATTTTAAGCAATGGAGAGCAAGTTTTACAAGACTGGCTAGTGTACTCTCTTTCACAAAACTGCGTTAACTGCTTCTGTTGCAAAATTTTCGGCTGTATAGTTAGTTCTCTTTCAAAGGAGGGTTTTAAAAGTTGGAAACACCTCGGCGAAACTTTAAAAGAGCATGAAATTTCCAAAAATCATATTCAGGCCCAAAAACCATGGCTAGAAATGAACGTAAGGTTAAAGTGTTGCAAAACTATAGATGCGGCCTCTCAAAGAATTATTAATGCCGAAACAAATCATTGGAACGAGGTGCTTCTAAGAATCGTAGCAATTACTAAAATGCTTGGTAAAAGTAGTCTGGCTTTTCAAGGTACATCCGACAAGTTTGAGTATAAAAACGGTAATTTCTTAAAAATAGTTGAGTTGCTATCTCAATTTGATCCCAATATAGAAGAGCACGTCCGTAGATTGCTAAAAAAAGAAGAGACTAAAGCTCACTATCTTGGGAAAAATATACAAAACGAGATAATAGATCTGCTGCATCAAAGTGTAAAGTCTCATATTATTGAAGAAATAAAAAAAATCAAAATATTTTTCCATAAATTTAGACTGTACTCCTGACATTAGTAAGGTAGAGCAAATGACTCTTGTAATCAGATTTGTTTCGATCAATAAATTTGACGCTGATGTTGAAATTAAAATTAATGAAAGCTTTTTAGGCTTCTTACCAGTCGAAAGATCCACAGGAAAACAAATGTCTGATATTATAATTGGAGAACTGAATGACTTGGGTTTAAACTTGCAGGATATCAGAGGGCAGGGATACGACAACGGGTCCAATATGAGGGGCGATAAAGTAGGAGTGCAGTCTAGAATTAAACAATATAATTCGCGAGCATTCTATGTTCCATGTAGTAGCCACTCTCTCAATCTTGTTGTTAATGATATGGCAAAAGCATCAAAAAGCATCCTTGGAAGCCGCTAATTTCTTCAACACGGTCCAAAAACTATATTTATTTTTTTCGGCATCTACTTTTCGATGGGCAATACTTTTAAAACATGTTCAAGGTTTAACTTTGAAACCATTGAGTGACACTAGATGGGAGAGTAGGATAGAGACCTTAAAGCCTTTGAGATTTCATTTGGGAGATGTATATGACGCCTTGCTAAGCATTTACGAAAACCAAGAAATTGATAATTTAATAAGAGACGAGGCCTAGGGTTTATTAAATTGTATTAAACAATTTAAGTTTTTGTGTTCATTAGTTATTTGGCACAAAATACTAAATTCCATTAATCCAATAAGCAAGTTGATGCAAACAAAAAATTTTAATCTAGCCTTTGCACTTGATCTTTTACAAATCTGCAAAATATTTTTTAAGAATGTTCAATCGGATTCGTCCTTCGATGAAACTATTATCGATGCAAAAGAACTCGCTACTGAAATTGATGCGAAAGCTAATTTTGGATCAACAATAACACGACACCGCGTTAGAAGAAGGAAAAGGAACTTCTTATACGAAGCACCAGATGAACCCATCAAAGATCCAAAAGAAAAATATAAAATAGATTTTTTTTCTTTTACAATCGATCAAGCACTAAATGCACTAGATGCTAGATTTGAACAACTTAGTAATCATAGTAACTATTTTCAATTCTTATATAATATATACGATTTAAATATCATGTCCAAAGAAATGCTACTAAAACACTGAGAATTTAGAATGCATTTTAACTGATGGTGTTAATTACAGTTTTAGCTTATTTAGAATAAGGATAAATCTTTATTTTTTTAAAATATTATTTTATAGTTTACATTATTTAATTTGAGTTATGTGCATGCCTTTTCCAGAATGTCTAACAGTCAAAGAAAACTGATTACCAGTACAATAATACCTCGATTTACGCTACCCTGACTTACGCAAAACTGGAGTTATGCGATTTTCAAATCTTGTCAATTTGTCTTTTGTTTGAGCACCACGCAGCTTTTGATTACTCACTCCTCCCCACACTATTGTTCAGCTTACATGCTCGGACGTGTCGCGCAGAATCGACACATAGCTACAATTTATTTTGTGTTATTTAGTTCTGTGTTTGTTATATCTACAAAGACTTGAGAGACTCTATGTAGTGATTTCTTGTAAACATGAATGAATCAAAAGATGAGATAAGATTAATGAGAATATTTATTAGCTTACATGCATCTGATTTGGATTTTACACAAATTGCAAAATTATACCTGACTTACGCGAATTCGACTTACGCGGTTATCACTTGGTCCCGCCTATCGCGTAACTTTGGGGTATTACTGTA